TAGCCCCCACCCCCTACTGGAATTCATATATTCTGTCATTTGTCTTAAGGTCTACTGTGTCAAGTTAGTGTCCCCAGACATCCCTCAGTGCAAGTTCATCTACTAAGGTCTAGTCACCCATCTAGTCTCTCTCTTCAGGAAGATCAGCTCTTCCTCACCCAGCAGTAATCAGCCGCTTATAGTTCTTCAGCTAAGACTGGGCTCAGCTGTCCATTTCCCCAGTTCTTTAAAAAAAAATAATAATAATTTATTGAGACTTTCATACATGCATATAAGGTGTTTTGATCAAATCCATGTCCACTCCCTTCCCTCCAGCGCTTCCCATATCTCCACGCCATTTTTTTTCTGATAACTTCATGCACCGTTTTTTTTTTTTTAAATGGGGCTTTTTGCTACTCTAAGATTCCCCACTCTTAGAAAATCATTTCCTACACCTATGTCTTGTAGGTTTTTCCCAATGTTTTCTTCTAACAGTTTCAGAGTTTCAGGCTTTTCATTGAGGTCTTTGATCCATTTGGAATTCACTTTTGTGCACCTACCTCCTATTCTTATCACACCATCCTCTGAAGAGGTTACCCAACTTGCAGATAGGGAATTGGGTCACAGACTGCTCTGGCTTCTTCCACGCTGAACAGGGACACAGGGTGAGGCAATTGGGATACCTCTTCAGTGGGTCTACCTAAAAGACTCCCAAATTGCATTAACTCTTGGAGGCAGAATCTGGGTGCTCTCGGGCAGTCCCCTGCAATCTCAACCCCTACGCCAGAGGAAGGCCAGAAGAGGCGCTCTCTGGCGGTCTGCTGAGATCACAGCAACTACACTGATGGAGGTCAGAACCGGCCCTCTCAGGCTGTCTGCTTAAGATCTCGGCCTTATCCTACCAAAGCCAGGTCACACTAGGTACATTTTTATGAAAAGAAAAACACTACTTAAAATAGCTACAAGAATGGGTCTTAAAGAAGGTAAAGGTTAATGAATGTTATGTTAAAATTTCTAATAGATTTCTAACTATTAATAGAAATACTTTGAAAAGAAAGATGTACTGAAAAACTTTGGACTTTAGGGATTTATTTTAATAAATTATATGCTTTTGGATTTTACTTATTCTTTTAATTTTTTATTTCAGGATATATTACATATACATGTTTGTGTATGTATGTGTACCACATGTATACAGGTGCCTTCAGAGGCCAAAAGAGAGCACTAATCCCCTGGAGGTGGAGTTACAGGTGGTTGTTAGCTAACATGTGGGTGATGGTAACAGAACCTGGGTCTTCTCTATGTGCAGCAAGTGCCTTTAACAGCTGTGCCATCTCTCCAAGCCCTACAAACATTTTTTTTTTCTTTCTTAAATCTCAGTATTGCCATCTGTCAAAACCTGCATTGCTAAATTACCTTCACACATCTACTACTATAGACAATAGGACCAATCACTTCAGATAAACATTAGCTCACTAGCCAAGAGCTAGAGTAGATCTTTTTATCCCTTCTGGTAAATAGAAACTTTAATTGTATTGTTTTCCATAAGCAGAAACTTTGTTTTCCTTACAGTGTTCACTGATAAATGTTCCTATGGCTGTAAAATAATGCTACGATGTACAAAGTCATATTTAAAGCCATATGGTTACCAATACAAAATCTCTAGGAATAGTATCTTACATGTTTATTTGAAATAATTTGTTCTGTGTATACATATATGCACTCCTTTAAGAGTATAGGACTGCACATACCTTGGCATACATGTGGAAGGAAGTCAGAGGAAAACTCCAGGTGTTAGTCTTCCCCTCCAATGTGTTTGAGGGACGGTCTCTTGCTGCTTTTGACTGGGTATAATAGGCAAACTGACCCCCAGGCTTCAACAGACTCTCCTGCCTCTGCCTCCCATCTCACAGTAGAAGCCCTGAGGTAAGCTGAATGCTGTGCAGCTGTATGTGGGCTCTGGTGATCCAAACTCAGGTTCCCATGCATGCACAAAAAGCACTTTACCCACTGAGCCATCTTCCCAGCCCGGTATATGAAGTAATTTGATGTTGTGATAATACTGAAGGGCCCGTATCTTTTAAATGCAGGATTAAAATGTAATCCAAATAAAAAGCCAAGAGCCTCTTTTTTAAAGTTATCATCACACCCATACTGCCATTTGATGATCATTTGTGACTTGTTAAAAATTACTAATAAAGTCTCTAAACAATAATATCACAGTTTTAAATGTTACAAAAGAAAACCAGATATAAAAAAATCTCTAACAAATTAGTGTTTAATTTTCTAACAGTCTATAATCTATAAACTTCATGATGGCTATGACTGGGAAGTTATTTTAATATTTTAAATTAAAGAGTCTAATAAAGACCCCACAAGGTGGCTCAGCAGGTAAAGGCCACTTGTCCTCAAGTCTAGTGAGCTGAGTTAGACCCTGGGAAGGAGAGAGTCCACTCTTCCAAGTTGTTCTCTGACTTCTACGTGCAAGATGTAGTATGCTTAGCCACATACATAAAAAATATAATGTTTTAGCAGGGTGTGGTGGCACACACCTTTAATCCCAGCAGAGGGAGGAGGCAGAGGCAGGCGGATCTCTGTGAGTTCAAGGCCAGCTTGGTCTATATACTGAGTTCCAGGCCAGCCCCACTACAGGAAGACCCTGTCTCAAAAAAAAAAAAAAGGAAAAAAAAAAAAAAAAAAAAAAAAAAAAGATGTTTTAAAGTGCTTTTTAAAAAATACAATAAAAAATAGAAAAGAGGTTGTCATTTGAAGCAGATAATAAAATTAAGCTTAAGTTAATCTTCCATTCTAAAATGAAGATATATGACTACTTGACTTAATATTTTAATATAGATTTGGAAGGGACAAAGGAACAGACTTCTCAAGCATGGAAGCATAACCTACACTGTCCCCTGTGTTTGCATGGCTACAAGGGTCAGAAATGAGGGGACAGTTTATATTTCTTTGGTAGAGATAAAACATAATTCAGTATAGAGAACTTCAGATTTCAAGGAAAGTCAGCTCCAGCAGCTAATAGCTTGTCTCTCTTTGCTGTTGATCTAGATCTTCTCCCCCCACCCCCGAGCCCCTCAGTTACACTCCAGCTCTCTGAAAAGGTCTGGAACAGATTAAAAGTCGGGCCTCAAAATAAAAAGCTTTGGCAAGTTGTCAAGCCTGTCTGGAATACGCACAGTCAGTGGCCCCAAAAGGGAAACCAGAGACAGTGAGAACTGTATGAGACTTGTGTTGGTGTGCACAAGCCTGTGCATGTGTGTGCATGTGTACTGGAGGTGGGGGAAGTTATGTTTGTCTTACTTATTTTTCTCCAAAATAAGCCCTCTTCCTTAAGCGATCCAGCTGTAGGTATAGTAACGGATATAACTAAGCTCAGAGCAAAGCTTTTCTCCTTCCCTGTTAAATGCTTCTCTTTCACTGTTAAATGCTTTTCCTTTTCTTTTTTCTCTCTCAGAAAAAAAACCCTCTTATGTCCTCAAGAGTGAGGAGGTAATCATATCTCACCCCCACAGGAAGACCGCAGTACTCGTCTTTAAAATTTCCCATAGGTGGATGAATCGAATTCATCGAATACGATTTAAGGAAACAGGATGCATCATTCCACTGAACCCAGTGATATAAACGGCAACCAATATTTATGGAACTTTTTATCTTTGGAGTTTCCTGTTTTAACTACAAGGGCTTATTCAAGTATTAAACAGAATCTGAAGCTGCAAATTACTAACATGCCAAGTTACTTTTTTAACACCTCAACAGATCCTGAAGCTCAAACAGCTAGCTTTTGAGCCAAACCGGACATCTGTCAAAATGACAGTTTAGGCCCTCACCTCACTTTTGACTCTTCCATGAATAGTTCAATTACCCCATAAAGTTGGGGTCTGAGGTAAATCCAGATACTGTTTTCTGCTGTTGCTATTGTTTTTGTTTTTAAGACACACAGAAGGCCGAGCACTGCTAGGAAGAAATCTGGCAGGGGAGTGGTTTTCACCCAGTCAGCCTGGGGTAGTTTTCCTTTTCTTTCTTCCCCCAGGGCTGTGTTTTGATGGCATTCAGAGAGTTAATTCCTCTTTCCCAGCAAGGCCCTGCGCTGCTGTCAGGTCAGCCCCTGAGAATCTTCAAAGGCTGTGAACCCCTGCCTCTGACCCCATCCCTGATCCACACATTGTTTTCATTTGGCGGCTTAGGGGGCCAAGGCAGAGAGAGCTTCAGACCACAATTATCTGCCCCCTTTTAGATTTGTTTTCCATGGCTTTGGAAGAATACTTCAGAAAGCCAACTGAAAAAGCGAACACAGTCAGGAAATATGGACAACAAGGGAGTGAATGGTGTGGAAGCACTTATCAAAATGTGAACTTTGGGGAGGAGAGAGCTCAAGCTTGCTGTTTGTTTCCTAAATAAGAAACGAAATTAAAGACCTTAACCTAAAAGCAAATCAATAAATAAAAAAATCCAGAACAAGTAGAAAATGCTTTCGTCAGACATTTCTGGAGTTCAGGACTAAGGGTTGTGTCCCTGCCTTCCCAAGGGCCACCCGCTCCAGCAGTGCTCAGCCCTTGGAAGCTAAGCACCACAGCACCACGTCTCTGAGGAAAGCTGGAGCTCTGGGTTTTAGATCTGTGTGGCAGCCTGAGCATTACTGAAGCCAGAAGGACTGCTTCTAACACCATCACCATTTCCCCCAAATATGGAAAAGACAGAGCAACAGTGACTATGGTCAGTAAATGACGACAGCGCCCCTAACCCGACCTGGGCTATGAAGCAGATTTGGGCCTGCATCTCTCAATTTTTTTTTTTTTTTTTTAAAAAAAAAGCACTTGGAAAAGATGGGCAGGCAGTCATTTCTTACTACCATGAAGTGATGCATTTTTATTTAAATGTGCTCTTTCTCTCTCTGAAAACAGACAGACAGAAAGACACAGACACACACACACACACACACACACACACACACACACACACACACACACACACACACAGCGTCACCAAAAATATCTCAAAACCTTTACCAAAACGAGGGTCAAGCCTTGGGTCTAGCCAGGACGTGGTCTTGTTCTTATGGTTTATGTAGTAAACTTCTCCGTCCTGAGTCATGGCTTGTTCCCATCCATCAGGAAGAGGACCTAAAATACAGAAAATAGATCTTGGTTGGTTTTGACCTGTTTGGGCTAAAAAGCTGTGAGGGTTGCTGGGTGCTGATTCAAAAAGAAAGCAGGTCTAGAGAGATGTGCAGCCATACTAAGGCTAACAACAAAAAGGTCAAAAGGAAAGCAAATACAAATAGACATGAAAAAATTCATTAAAACAGGTTTAAGCCTACATTCAGGGAAGATACCCTGATTCTTCTCCATAAAAAAGAAACCATTAAGTAATGAAATCAACACCCCAAAGACAGGTGGGAATTTAAGAAGTCAGATTAGAAGCACTTTAGCTGAGTCCGTTTACATCCATTATTTATGCAACAAGCTTGCACCAAGAAAACTATAACACAGAAAACCACACCCTCCCCTCTTAATCCCAGCACTTGGGAGGTAGAAGCACGTGGGTCTCTGTGAGTTCAAGGCCAGCTCTGGCTACAGGGAGACCCTACCTCAAAGAAGAGCCCCCCCCAAAAGAAAAATACAGCCCCAAAATATTAAAAAGCTATTTTAAGCAGAACAGAAATTGTCAACTGGAGGGAACTGTGGCTGAAAGTCCAAGTTTGTTGGCAGGATGGGAGAGGGCTGGGGAACGTGTTACACTTGTTGGGAGACAAAAATTTCCCAGTATGTATGGAGTAGGGAAGCTTTGGGGAAGTGGCAATAATGAAAAGAGTCCCAGAATGCATCACTGACCTACCCAAACACTGCATTAGAAAGGTGGAACTCTACAACCTAATCAGTATTTGTCTCTACCCTTAACTGTGAAGATAGCTCAACCTGAAGACATTTCTTAAAAATCTGTAAACTGTTTAAAAAAATCTAAGTCCCTAAGATACTCTGTGACTGTACATGCTGATGATCTGGCCACTGTAGAAACTGGATGCCTTGGAAAGCCACAACAATGCCAAGGGACGTCATGACAGACTTCCAGCATGCTTGAGTACCTGGTCTCCATCAGTTCTTAGCAACACCATTCTCCACCCTTGCTGACAGAGTTAGAACAGGAGGTAGTACGGACATGGCCAAGCCTTTCCTCTGGTCCATGGACTCCATCCTGAAGATTCTACCCACCCTCTCTGGCTGATCTCCCTAGCCCACCTGCTGCAAGTTCAGCCACCACTGAGGAGCAACTGTCCCAGCCACATCAGGCAACTGCTCATCTCCTGTCACTACTCACTCCATCATCACCACCATGTAATGATGATATCACTGCATGTACAGCCACACAGTGGCTCCACCCGCTGGTTCTGTTCCTGTCCCCATGTGCAGATGAACAAGCAGGTCTGAGGTTATTAACTGGCCCAAGGCAGTCTGGTATTCAAGCATGTGATTGCATTTGCTTCCTAAGGACATAAATACATTCCCCTAAATGTATGCTAGAACTCCCAAGTGTTACAATCACCAAGAGATTTTATACTAAGTTTAAATTATTAATGTCACTAAAAATGGAAAATTTACAAGAATTAAATTCAAGTAAGCCAGACACAGGAACTCACACACCTTTAACCTCAACTGATCAGGAGATGGGGGTGGCAGAGTCACAAGTTTAAGGCCTTAATTTAGTGGGAACTTATCTTGAAAAACAAAAAACAAAACCTGTTTTTTAAGGGCTAGCAATAGCAATAGCCCAATGGTAGAAAATTTGCCTAGCATGTGTGAGGCCCTGAGTTTAGTCCTTAGTACTGAAAAAAATTAATTCAGAAAGCTTTCCATGAATAATTTTAAAAATATGTTTTATTTATTATTTTTTTATTTTATGTGTATGAGTGTATTGCATGCATGTATACAAGTGCACTCATGTTGTGTGCCCACGGAGGTCAAGAGGGTGTCGGATTCCTTGGAACTGGAGTTAAGGACAATGGTTAGCTGCCATGTGGGAGCTGGGAACAAAACCTGGGTCCTCTGCAAGAGCAGCCAGTGCTCTTAACCTCTGAGCCATCCCTCAAGCACCTAAGACTCTTTCTTTACTGAAGGAAAGCCACTGAGTCAAAGGCAAGGAAGAGATTAAGAAAAGATAACCATTAAATAACTCTGCAATATAATCTATTTTTTAGTACTGGAATGAAGGCAAAGAAAGCCGAAGAGCGATGTCTGGGGTGCAGCTCCGTGACAGAGTGCCTGCCTAGGGTGTGTGATGCCCTCATCTCAATTCCCAAGAATATAAATGAGTAAATAAATAAAAAACTGCAAAGAAACAAGAATCTTTAACTTTAGTATAAATTAAACAACAAAAATTAAGGCTTTATCAGACAAGGTCCTAAGGAGGAATCAATAACTAGATTCTTTGTCTTTTTTTTGTTCTTGTTTATTATTTTTTGTTTTTAAAGATATAATTTTATTTCTTAAATTATGTATGTGCATCTAAGTGCAGTGCCTGTAGAAGCCAGAGGCCAGTGCCCCCCCCCCCCCCCTTGAGCTAGAGTTACAGGTGGTTGTGAGCCACCTGATTTGGGTGCTGGGAATCAAACTCAGTCCTCTCCTAGAGCTCTCTCTCCAGGCCCCTTTTGTTTTTTGACACAAGGTCTCACGATGTACCCTAAGTGGGCTTCAAGCTCATTCTGCAGCCAAGACTGGCCTGGTTTGAGACAATTCTGCCTCTGTCTTCCGAGCCCTGCGATGACAGGTGTGAGCTGTTAGCCTGTTCTCAGTGACCTGTCACCGCAGATTCCAAGTCATGTATTAAACCAGGCCAACCTTGATAACCAGGAAAAGACCATTATGATTTCTGCACCGTCAGCCTTGTTCAATCATTAGTTTTGATTAGAGACAGACTGGAGAAAATTCTCTAACAAAGAAATCTGGATGATCCCCAAAAATTAAATTTCTAGGAGTAGGCTATAGGGTCCATCAAAATAAGCACAGGGCCAGCAGTGGTGACATAACTTGTAAACCCCAGGCTAGCCAAGATTAAATAGCAAGACCCATGTCAAAGACCAAAACAGACAAAAGTACAGGATGCCTTTAAATTCAATTTATATTCTAATGTCATGAATTTATAATTTATTTAAAATGGAGTATATAAAACGAAGTAAATTTGCCAGGCGTGGTGGTGCATGCCTTTAACCCCAGCACTTGGGAGGCAGAGGCAGGCGGATCTTTGTGAGTTCAAGGCCAGCCTAGTCTACATAGTGAGTTCCAGGACAGCTGGGGCTACAGGGAGACCCTGTCTCAAAAAAAACAAAAAAAAAAAGAAGTAAACTTGAAGGTCAAATTTTTATGTACCTAAAATGATCTAAAACGGTGCAGTGGCCCTCAAATTTCAGCCCTCACCTGGACCCAGGATACTGAGCCCCACCCTGTTTCCTCATATGCAACTATACCACCTCACTGTAAAGCACGACAGTGCCCTCCAAGTGGAAAGGGGGGCACCCAGCCATGTCTGCTAGACTATGACGAGGTAACCCACAGGAAGCAGTCATGGAAGGTGATTTTAGTTTCCTTAATACTAGAAAGACCTAAGGCACTGCTGTTGAAGAGACAAAATCATCTCATTTGTCCTCTAAGGCAATGATAAGTGGGTGTCTGAGGGCAAGATTGGATGTGACGTACAGGAGGTAAGGCTGGCCACTGAGCTTCAATCATTTTAAAATACTTTATTGTTTTTATTTTATGCATATGAAGTGTACTGCCCACATGTATGTAAGTGTACCCGTGTCATACAACGCCCGTGGGGGTCAGAAGAGGGTGTTGGATGCCCTGGGACTGGAGTTATGGACAGTTGTTAGCTACCACGTGGGTGCTGGGAATCGAACCCAGGTCCTCTGCAAGTGTAGCCGATGCTCTTAACCACTGAGCCATCTTTCCAGCCCCTAGCTTCAATCATTTTAAATGGAGGCCTCTACTTTCTTTCTCTGCTGTGCAGGCCCAGGGTGTTCTCTACATCGGGGTCAGAGCCTTTACCACAGTGAACACACTGTGCTTCTTCCTGTGACGGTCAAGTGCCTGGGCTGAGTATGCACCCCATACCTTTCTATCTTCTTTTCCGGTGTAGAGACCATTGCTTACAAAGAGTGGAACGTTGATTGAAATGCATGTAATCAAATGGAAGCTCAATTAAAACCTTTTCTTTATGTTTATGAAAGAAAACATTCTGTTTTAGTTTTGAATATAAGTTCAATTTCTCCCAGATTTGGCACTAAACTGAAGGCAGTACTGATTAGGCACCTGCAATATTCTGAACATTATCCTAGGCTGATACAGCAACAAACAAAACGGTCCTCATTCAAGGAATCAGGTTCTCAGGGAAGACAAACAGTACAATGCATAATATGATCAGTGCACTAAAAAAATAAATAAATGGGATGGGAACGGGGACTTGGTTTCTTGGAAATGCAAATAAAGGACACCACCCCCTCTCCCTAGCCACACACACAGAGGATTGGGGACTCTCCATTGGCTCTGAATGCAATGCAAGTAGAAGGACAATGATCTACGTGGAAAAAGACCTGGCCAGTGTGTGCAATTGGCACCAAATAAGTAACAACACTATGCCACAGTAAGTCTTTTTATAACTATGAATCACTAGACACTGGGTGTGATAGTGCATGTCTTTAATCCTAACACTGATGATCTCTGTGAGTCCGAGGCCAACCTGATCTACACAGTGAGTTCTAGGGCAGCCAGGGCTCTCACTACCCTAGTAAGACCTTGTCTCAAAACAACCAAACAAACACCCCTCCCCTCCAAAAAAACACCAGAAGGGCTGAGAACACAGTTCAGTGGTAGAACACATGCGAGCATGAAGCCTTAGGTTCAATCCCCAGTCTACAATCCCAGAATTTAGGAGGTGGAGGCAGGAGAACCAGTTCAAGGTCATTCTTAGCTACAGTGAGGAGGGGGAGCAGACTAGGAAACCACAATCAGTTCAATGAATAAAGGGCAGACTGGGTAACATTTTCAGCAATGCTGACTGATTCTTTCAAATTCTTGAACACTTTGAAAAGTCAAAAGACAATAATCACTTCATCTCAATTCACATATAT